AAACCCCAGGGGAACACTGAAAGAATTGTTTTTAAATTAAATTAAAAACAATTATTGATTATTTAATATCGGAACCGAGATTGATTGATTGGTTTTCACACACTTTTGAAACACAAATTATATGCTTTTTTACGCAGACAAGTTATTGCTAACACAGCAAAAATCATCTTTCAATAACTTACAAATATAAAAATGTAAAATGTCGAGGGCTTATATGTATTCCATACCCTCTATCTGCAATTTTCACAAAAACTACTTTGTGATGTTAGAACCCATTTGGGGGACTTACCTGTCATCACTGATGCTAATTCTGATTTGCAATTTAATAGTGTAAGTTCTTCTGTCAAGTGTTATACAAGGTCAGCATTAATGTCACCGATGACAGTTAAATCTTAGGTTGATTTTTATATCAGAATCTAATTTTTTGTGAAAAGTGTGCAGATAGAGGGTATTATTGAATACAAGCCCTCGATATGTAAAATATATGATATATTTCATATATTTACTAAAAATAAATCTACCTGCGTTACAGCACGGCGGGATTGAGGGGAGGGGGTGCGGGTGTCGGGATAAATTTAGGTTCTATGTACTAGCACAACTATCCTCATGAGGTTGAAACTCCAACACAATCGCCGGTGTCAATGTTATTGAGAATCTATGAAGTGTTCTTTAAAAAAAATATAAGGAAATATTAAATAAGCAACCGGCAATACTTGAAAACGGAATTACAAATGGAGTGGGAGAGAATAACACCCACGGTGGCCACTTTGGTACAATTGTACCAAATATGGGCCTTTTTCCGTTTGGGCCTTTGGGCCTTTTTTTTGTTTTGGTCCTTTTTGAAGCAACGTTCGTTTGAATAAGCAGCACTCACAGTTTAAAAATTTAGGAATATTCGACAAATTTTCATCAAAATTTCAACTTTTTGATCTGAATCTTTAGAACATTTTTTGGCATGCAGTTTTATAGCCCATATAATTTTAGTCTAATAAAGTACAAGTTTCAACCGCCTAAAAATTCGCGTTGATTTTTGAGAATTTTTGATTGGACGCTGCTTTTGCGGTGTTTTTTTTATATAAAAAATGCACTTTACAAAAACCGGCGTTGATTTTTTTTTTATTTTGTTGCTTGCGGCCTCCCGTATTTTATTTCATAAGAAATTCATGCTTGTATGGAAAAAAGTACAAAAATCCGTCACCAAAAAAAAAATGCTCAAATGCTCGGTAATTGTTTATAGAAAAATTACAAGAACAAATTTGTTCGAAAAACGTTATAAAAATATAAAACAATCAACACGCGGTCACTTGTTTGAGTCACTGGAAATATTTTTGGTGGACGACAAAAAATTGTACATTTTATTTTATTTTGGGCCTTTTTACTTGTATATTGTGGTATACAAAATTTTGATTAAGTGGGAACCGTGATAACACCCGATTATTTATACCAAAAAGCTTGTTAGCTTCATGCAATCTCATTAATTATTAAGTTAAATATAAGTTACTAGAAGATTTGTAAGTAACAAAAACACATAGGAGAAAATGTTTAAGTTTGTTAAAGCAACGCAATAAGAATGAGATCGTTTTACGACGCGTTATAATTTTGTTACCGAGATTTAATAAAAAAAAATAGTTATTTTAAGTTTGTTTTTTACAAGCTTTTATCACCTGCGTGTAATCGAGTTCTTCAATCAATTTTTAACCAACTTAGCTCCGAACACGATGACAATTCAACGAGAAACGTAAAAACCCGTACTTATGGTGCGTTATGGATCATATTTGGAAAGTATATTACATACCGGAATCACTACAGAAAAAGTTTACCCGATAGGTGGTGCAAGAGTCGAGATGTTTGGAAACCCCGTATTTATGGTCAGATTTGTTTCATAGTTAGAACCAGAGTTGAGCATTTTTCGAATAAATTGTTATTTATTGTCGCGCTCGCGTCCTCCGCCCCCTCCCCTCCTCTAGCAATTATGCACTGCTGGCATTATAACCGTTTAGAAAAAAGAATAATAATAAAATGACACTAGTTCACTTCTGACACTGCTTTTTAATGTCCAAGTAATGGGAATTATTGCGTATGGTGTTATTGCATGCACCCCACGCATGGTGGAATTATACCAGGTGAAGTAATATTATAGTGAGAAGAAATATTTTGACACTGCCTTATTTGAAAACATGCCTATAAAATGTGACTATAAGACAGCCGAATGTCAGAAAATAAAGCGAGAAAGCTGGTTTATTACTTCACCTGTTTATTGCGCCATTCATCCCACCTGCTTGTACCGAGTATACGTTCAAATTTAGATGTCTGAGATTAAGTAAAATTTTACATATTTTTACATCACTATTTCGTACCGCACCTTCGCTTCGTCTTCGTAAACGAAATCCACATTTCGGATATGGTGAAACAAGTGAAGATAATGCAGAAATTTTAACTGAAGATGATGCTTTCCATTTCCAGACAACCGGTCAGGTACGAGCATGATTTTTAATTTCGACCAAACTCAAATACATTGTTTGTTGGTCCAAATAATGAGACACGTATTTTTTTCTTTTGCCTCGGAAAAATTTTTCGGCCGAATTAAACGCGATTTTGTTTTTCAGGCAAAAATCGACTTTTCGAATTGACAGTGAGAATGTTTTTTTAAAATGCCCATGACTTTGTCAAAATTTAATCGATTCCAACAATGTTTTTACTCAAATGCCAGTAATTTTTGTCACTTCAAGATAGAATGATATAATTATTAATTATCATTATTTAAAATTTTTTATTTAACAATAAACAAAAAGTGTAAATTTTTTTTTAAACTTAATTTCTCAAAAAGTGTATTTTTTTTCTCTCAAACTTTTTTACCGGGAAAGAGACACTTTGAACTACAATTAACCTAAATCTCTAGCAGCGAAGATTTTTTTTTTCTGAGTTATGATATTTTATAGAAAATGTACGTTTTTGTAGTACATACTACAATATTCTTATATTGTTTAAATAAATGGAACATATGTATGTAACATATCAGCAAAAAGTACAGCCGTGATCATTTGTTGTGTATCAAATAGATATTACTTTCCACCATACAGTTTCGAAATACAAAATCACATTTTCCCGCTTTTTATAATCGAAACTGTATGGTGGAAAGTGTATTCTAATATCTATTTGATACACAAAAAATGATCACGGCTGTATTTTTTGCTGATATATTACATACATATGTTCCACTTAGTTAAACAATATAAGAATATTGTAGTATGTACAACAAAAACGTATATTTTCTATAAAAAAATCATAACTCAGAAAAAAAAAATCTTCGCTATTAAAGATTTGGGTTGATTGTAGTTCAAAGTGTCTCTTTCCCGGTAAAAAAGTTTGAGAGAAAAAAAAAATACACTGTTTATTGCGTTATGGTTCCATGCAAACATTTTAAGGTTTTCCAGCAATGTTTTCCACACATTTAATGCAGATAAAATCCATGCAAAAGCGCTATGTCCAATTTGCTGAGCAGTTATTAAAGACGACTCTTTTCCTATATTTTGTTAGACTTTTCATAAGTAAAAATATTTTGTGAATATTACTTTCTTCATATGAATTACATCACACATTTTCTAATTGTATTTTTGGAATAAACAAAGCTCTTTTTCCTTCTGTCAGTAAACTGTTTTTGTTACAAATAGTATAAATAAGCAATGGGAAATAAGGCAAAATTGTTTTATTTCCAGTCTTTGTTGGAAATAAAGCAAAACTCAGATTTTGGTATTATTTCCCGTTTAAAAGTGAAATAAAGCAAATTTTGCGTTATTGCCGTTTGTGGTATTTCACCCCTCGGCGGGATGTTATGGAAAATACTACGAAACAAAAATTGCTTTACAAAGTCCTGATTGATCTATCAAAGTCACTTTGCGCACCTATTTACACCTTTCCGCAAAGGGGGCGTTCCTATGAAAGCCTCGTAAACTTACGAGTTTTACACGGTTTAAGACTTTACGAGTTTAAGGAAATCCCCTAATTATACCGATCATTGTTGTATATACACTGTCGATCAAAACCGCGTGCATGTACGACATTTTATTACTTACAGTAACATAACTTTTTTAATAATAAGCGGATTGCTTTGAAATTTTCAGCAATTGGTGCTTATTATGTAAGGAATAAAGCCTAGTATACAGAAAAACTAAGCTTAAAAAAGAAATAAGCGATTCACAGCAAAATCGCAAGGCAACTCTATTCACTCAATTTTGAACTTTTCTGATTTGAGATTTTAGGAGGTTGATATCAACCGCGTATCAAAAGAATGCAAAACCTCGTACATCAGGTTGCCAAAATTATATAGGAGAGATAAAAATCTGTCTTTTTTCAACACGCTTCTCTCTTTTATCACCAATTATTTCTACCTTTCATATCGATATTTGGGTATAAACGGATAAGGTTTGATATCAGGAGCTTACGGTGAGCAAATCTCATTTTTGGCACTGCAGCTATCTTTTGTTGTTGTCCGAGGTATGTTGGAAATGGAATGACTGCTGGACTGCGGACAAACACATAGCACCTATTCTTGTTTAAGGGTCATTCCTTGTTCCTTCAATTGTTTACTTTTTCGAGTTTACAATTATCTCCAAATTGCTATTGTAAGTTGTGCGGATTTTTAAGCTTATGTACATAGGAGCCGTTCAGTGCACACATCGATTAATTCCACCTATTGAAAAATCTTAAATTTAGGTGTCAAAGCACTTGGTATAGTCATAAGTTATTACGTTAATAATATCCTTATATAATATTTATAACAACACTAGCGGTATCCCGGTGTGCTTCTCTACACCAAATATTGAAAAATTGATGAAAAATCCTGGAATTTTTCTATATGAAGATTTATCATTTGTTTTATTTCAAAATGTTTGATTCTTTATTTTTAATCTTAATCCAACACATTTGGATATACAACATTTTTTGTTTTTCCATCTTGGGTATGAATAAATAAACAATTTGGAATGCCAACTCTTGAACAGGCCACGTATAGCTGTCCGTGCGAAAAGCACGGCTCCTCCAAATTCAATCTGCATACTCGAAGAGTTTGTCCTGGCGCCTTGTTGACGGACATGGCAAATGCTAGACGCACTGGGAATTGCAAACGCTTGAATTCAAACGTCATGTATGTTTTTATCAGTGGAATACGTGGTATGAGCACAATTTCACCTTTCGCTTTCCCAGTCAGTATTGTTGCTTCAACTAAATTCGCCATCAATTTTTTTACTGCCAGTCTTGTGCCATTACACAGAGCATTTAAATTCCGTAGTAAAATAATTGATGAGCCGACCTTTAAATTCAAACAATGTGGTGGCATACCAGGCGGTTCCATTGAATTCAAAAATTCAACTGGATAATTCACTGCGTCATCTTGATTCATTGCGCTGTCAACAGATTTACATGTTGTCACTTCATATGGCAATTTTTCTAGAATTTGATAATTGATTGAATTGATATGCACATTTTTGGTGCCAGTATTGCGCGTTCTCTCAACCAATCGTGATACAGGTAATTTTGAGCAATATTTGGAAACACGCGTTCAATCAATTTTTCTTTTAATTGGAGAATTGTACTAAAATTCTTCGGCAATGTGATCAAGCCATTTGTATTATCGATTCGAACTTTGCCATTTCCGATCTCTAACAATTGCTTGTGCAACTGAACACGCATGTTTATGTGTAATGTCAATTTTTGCACATATCGCCACAGAGGGGAGGACTTCAAGCATGCATTAATCTCATCTGCCGGTGTTGATCGTGGAGTCCAAAATAGAAAGACCGAATATCAATGTACACCACCTATTCGATAATACGATGAAATGACAGATATGTTGTGTTGTGGTGACTTTCATTCCATTGGTTCTACAAAATCCCTATTGAAAAACTTGCAGCCATGTTTATACTTGACTTAATTTATCCAAAGAAAAAATAAAAACAGCACATTATAGCAACAATTTTCCACTGCGTTTTGAAACTTTATTTGTTTAAAAAAAAAATCATGTACTAATTGAGAACTATATTGCAGCCATGTTTATACTTGACTTAATTTATCCGAAGAAAAAATAAACACAGCACATCATAAATAGCAAGAATTTTTCACTATGTTTTCGATTTTTCATGTATCGGCTGTTGTACCATATACGTGGTTCAAGTGACAGACATAAACTGTCATTTATCATGAACCGCTGGACCGAATTCGGGCACACTTCACATAGCCCATCTGCATGATAGTCCGAATATACCGTTTAAATTTGGTAGAATTCGTGCACTTATTTTTTTTATTTAAGATGGGGAGTATGGAATTATTTCATATGTCTCTATACCAATTCCAGTAATCTACCACAAATATTTCAAGAGATATACCAGATGAAAATTTTTGTTAGTATGGGTGGTGCCATGCCCCCTTTTCTGAATTCGGGGAAACTTAACACAAACCATCTGCATAATAGCCCGACTATGCCATATAAATTAGGTTGAAATCTTGCACTTCTTTTTTATATATAAGATGGGAGGTGCACGCCCTCTTTTCCAATACCGCCCATTTTTCTCCATGAGTATGGATTTATTTGATATACCTCTATACCAATTTCCAATACTCTACCACAAATATTTCAAGAGATATGCAACATAAAAATTTTAGTTAGTATGGGAGGTGCCACACCCCCTTTTACGAATTCGGGCAAACTTCACATGAACCCTCTGGATGATAGCCTGAATATGCCGTATAAATTTGGTTGAATTCGGTGAAGCCGTTATCAAGTTATAAGCTCACACCAAAAACGTGTACTTATTTTTATACATAAGATACATATGCCACGCCCCTTTTCCAAATTTGGGCAAACTCCACAGAAAATATCTGCATGATGGCCCAAATTAGCTTTATGAGTTTGGTTGAATTCGGTTAAGCCGTTCTCAAGTTATAAGCTAACTCACTAATTTTTATATATAAATTACAGGCGCCAAGCCCCCTTTTCCGAATTCAAGCAAACTTCGCATAAACCATCTGCAAAAAAATTTTAGTTAGTATGGGAGGTGCCACACCCCCTTTTACGAATTCGGGCAAACTCACATGAACCCTCTGGATGATAGCCTGAATATGTCACATAAATTTGGTTGAATTCGGTGAAGCCGTTCTCAAGTTATGAGGTCACACCATAAACGTGCACTTATTTTTATATATAAGATTATTTATTAGATTTTATAACATAAATAGAATTTACAAAAATAATGTACATTATTCGATCGCATCTCCCAACTTTTTGTTGATGAAGTTAATCAATTTGTGCACTGAAGGGCTCATATATGAATGTTAATGTACTTATGTGTTTCAGTCCAGAGAATGATTTCAGATTAAGGTCAAAATTTAGTAAAAAATGTTATTGACTTACTTATATTTAACAAATTTTAATATTCTTAATATTTTATGCAGCGCAAATATTGATTCACATGACAGCTGTGATATCGAACATGTTGCACAGAGCTCTGATTTGGATATGGAAATAAATATTCGAGGATATGGGAGCATACCTAAAAATCCGATGAGTCTAGTGGTATTGTAGAGAACCGAATGCCGAGAAATCTCTACAAACATCGCCAGATGGTTTAAATGCAAATAAACGATGTATTTTTTGTGATAAAACGCAAGTCAACGTCATTTAAATCTAAATTATTCTTCTTGCGAATTGAAAGAATATATGCACTTTTATTTAAAGTATTGATGACAAATGTTTGCAATTTCCCTGTTGTTTTTCGACAAATAACGCAGTACGGCTTGACATCAGACATCCTTAGACAAATTTGGCATGCACTTGTTTTCACGAGATAATTCACGGAGACTGCATAATTGTGCATACTTACAAGTAAACAATTGTCTTCTTCTGCCTGGTTAATATCCTGTCAAAATGTACAAATGAAAACATTTTGACAGGGTGTTCTTGAACCGCGATATAAAGGCAGCAGAGATGTTGAATGTGACTATAGCACCGTGCGACAAAAACCAAAAATTTTTAAAACACGAAAAAATCAATATATTCACAAAACTAGGAGCCAAATATAGTATAACTGCGTTTTTAATTTTTCTCTCTGACGTCAGGATTTTTTTAAAGGACTGAAATTTCTAGGATATGATTGAATAAAAAAAAATATTTAAAAGATTTGGTGCATTGTAGAGTAACAATATGGGTATCATTTAAACGGAAAACTTCTGTAGAATAGAAAAAAAATTTAATTTTTGGGTGCACCAGGACAAATAAGTATTGAAGATGTCCTTTTAAAATGTTATCCTTGAATATCCTTGGAAATTTCCAATATTTATTTTTGAAACAAATATATGTCAAGGACTAATATGTTAACTACCACATCCTTGAATTTCGTCCTTCTAACTTTATTAGTTTCAAATAAATAAAAAATTTACACCTCTCTTTATAAGATATTGATAGTTACAATATACATAAATGAAGATACTGGAATCATTACACTGTACAGCACTCGGCTGGGTTTTGGACCAAACCAATTTTTTTTTAAGAGATTGAGTCATGGTAAAAAATAATTTTTTTAATATTATATGTAAATAACTAAAAAACTAAAAATATAGACCTTTGCTCTTATATAAATAGCATATAACTTTTTTTTGTGCAAACTTATACTACAGGAGCTATAAGGGGTCAAAATTCGGGTCCTCGAAAAATTAAAAACCTTATTTTTAAAAAAATTTTTAACTGATTTTTAAAAAATTGGTATCGTTGTAAACGCAATTAAACCCCCTCTCTTCTGATATGCATATTTGTATACTTCGTTTATAAAAATTCGAGAAAAACACTTAAAAGCAAAAATACCCTAAATTTTTTTCCTCTATGTGAAAGGCTGGCTACGCCCATGTATAGAAAACAATTAAAGTATTTAAACCGTACATTAAACGATCAGTTTAATCTTTTAGAGCGCATGATTGGTTCCATAGTGATGATGCCAGTATCTTCATTTATGTATATTGTAAGTATCAATATCTTATAAAGAGAAATGTAAATTTTTTACGAAATTAATGATACGTACAATAAGTTTCGCGTATGCGGATATGAAATTGTTTGCTTATTTTTTGCTATAATTGTAACTCCCCTGTAAGCCCCTGTCGTGGGGGTGCGCCGGCAGACGTCCAAATTAGTATTGTCGTTACTCGCATACCTCATAGAAAAAAATGAGGCTCGCGAAAATGACCCGAAAATTTCTGTCGTTAACTCCCGTGCTATAAAGAAGTATAAGTTCGTGCGAAACCGAACTTTATATACTTGGCGCACGTATTAAATCTCGTTTTTTCACCTTTCAGTAAACTGCATGATAAGGAAGAGTATTTTTCACGATGTTTGTTTCGATAATATGCTATAACATATTGAAATAATTGGACCAAATTTGGTGGAAGTCGGTAAGGCGGTTATCGATATAAACTAATGTAGTCATAAGTGGGTGGTGCCACGCCATTTAACAAAACACAATAATCTTGTGTCTTTTCAAATATTTACCGTTACATGGTAAGTGGCAGTAATTGTAGACCAATCTTAAAAATTTTCCACATATTGCTTTTTTGCGCCAAGGTTGCTAAATGTGCCGAGCTTGGTAGAAATTGATAAACCGGGTACCGAGATACACATATGTAGGCGTAAGTGGGCGGTGCCGCGGCCATTTTCCAAAAATTTCCCTAAATATCATTTTATGCCAAGAGGTCATTGCATATATCGATTTTGAGTAAATTAGCTTAAACAGATACTAATTTATCGCAGTTCTCGTATTTCTGTAAATTACCGTTATATGGGAGGTGGGCATGGTTCTTGCCTTATTTCAAAAATTTTCTACGGGTTTCTTAGTGAGGCCCTTAGCAATGTTCGCACCACATTTGGTGGGGATTGGTAAAGGAACTACAGAGATACAGCATTTCATCATAAGTGGGCGGCGCCACGTCCATTTTCCAAAAATTTCATAACTTTATTATTTTATGCCAAAATTATACTTCAAATACCAACTTTCAACAATTTGGAGCCAGTATTTGCGGAAATATCGTAGTTTTTGTATATTTCGAAAATACCGTTATATGGGAGGTGGGCGTGGTTATCGTCCGATTTTGCCCATTTTCAACCCTAACCTGCCTTGGAAAAAGGGCAACCTACTTACCAAATTTCGTTAAGATATCTAAATTTTTGTTCGAGTTATCGTGTACACGGACAGACGGACAGACGAACGGACAGACATGGCTTAATCTTTTTCTCTCATCATTCTGAGCATTTACATACTTATACATTTGTCTATACCTATCTCGATTCGTTTTAGGGGAGCGATTGGGATCACCTTGTCAAATAACGTTAAATTACAGGCATCTAACCCTAATTTATTTTTCATGCAAATATAGGTTCGAGTCTTTTTTGTGAAGTGTGAAGTAAAGTGTTTTTTGATATAATATTACTTTTCATTTTGTGAATTTGATGCAAGGTCTAATAAAACAATTGCATGTACTATTTAAAAAAAACACAAGATGTAAAGTTATACCTTGGGTTTATTAATGCAATGTATACATATAAATACTTCTTTCTTGCTTACAATGTTGGTAAAATGAAGGATGTAGTTAAGTAACTTAACAAATTACTCAGAATTTTGTAATAATTTAAATTTCAAATTCAATTTTGCGCTTTTCTTTTGCGAATCTTTTTATTATCCTTTCAGTGTCAATTTCAATATCTAAGTGTACGTGTAAAAGTGCTAGACCTATCAGTCTTTCTTCATTCATTGTACTACGCAACCATGTTTTTAACCGGCGAAGGGTTGAAAATCTTCTTTCGGAATTAGCGTTACTAGCTGGAAGTGTGACCAGAATGCGGAGAAGTTTGTTAATCAATTTAAAAGCATATACGTCGCATTTACAAGAACTTCTGCTGCTGATTTTGGGAATGGCTTTTTGCTTTCCTTATTTGTCCATCGTTCCAACCACACTTTGTACTCTCCTTCCAAATTGATACCGTCTTTTTCCAAGAAAAGTTCGTATCGTTTTCCAAGCGATTTTACCCGTTCGGTAGCATTATTTTTTTCGTCAGGCGTATTATATTCCACAATTTTAGATGGAAGTAATAAGTTCAAATCAAAAATGTTGAATGACCCTTTCGGCAATATTTCTCGGAGATCGAGCAAAATATTATCCAATAGCGGTATAAATATTGCCTTTCGATAATAATCTTCATCGTTAGACGCACGATAATTAGCCCGAAAATTTTTTCTATTCGCTCTCCGAGGAAGGACAATGTCAAAATCCAATTCCTTAGCATTTTCTCTATAATTTCGAAGAATTCTCACATTGTCGGCCGCTGTGGTGTAGTGGTAAGCAGTGCGCGCTTCCACTCCGCAACGCCTGGGTTCAAACCCTGGTCAAAGCAACATCGCATAAATATAGAAAAAAGGGTTTTTCTTAACAGCGGTCGTCCCTTGGCAGGCAATGGCAAACCTCCGAGTGTATTTCTGCCATGAAAAACAGCTTCTCATCAAAATACAATCGCCGTTCGGAGTCGGCGTAAAACTGTAGGTCCCTCCGCTTTGTGTGGCAACATCAAGGCGCACGCCACAAATCGGAGGAGAAGCTCGGCCAAACACTAACATATGTGTAAGCGCCAATCTATTATTATTATTATTATTCACAATGCCATTGACTACTTCGCTAGCACGATTGAAGTCAAGCGAGGGCGCTTGGAGAAGTAAACTTATAATTATTAATTTTTTAAATTAATTTTTTAATTCATAGTATTTACATCTCCCCCATCGCACCGCCCCCCCCCCCCCTTCCCCACCCCTCCCCAGCGTGCATCCGCTACTGTGCATACATACATATGAACATGTATGTAGATATTCGTGAATAGGCAATAATGTAAAAAATTTGTTACAGTATCTACATAAAAGCACGGCCACGTGCCACCGCTTGGCATAAACGTTTCAAATGCAGATCGGCAACTGCAGCAGCTCATTACATGACATGCGCCACCCAGCGGGTAATTTCCCAGCAACCGCTTGACCATAAAACGCTCATAACGGGTGCCCCAACCGCACATCTGCATGTTTGTTTTTTATCGACTATCCAGTACTGCGTCGGTGTACGTACGTTCATTACAGCGCTTACTCACCTTACAACAACTTACATACCTACATGCATGCTACCATCCGTTTGTGAGACCCTGACCACCTAATTTATTTAATATTAATCGAATATTTGCACTTGCAGTATTTATAAAATATGTATAAATTAAATTTAGATAAAATCCAACAACAACAGTGCATGTATTTTGTAACAATTTTATTAAATTATCTACCAAGAGCCACAAATACCACAAATACAGAATACGAGGACACATACAACAAATCTCGAATACCCCTTATACTTTTTTATTGTATTTAACCTAAATTTACTCTATTTTATTTATGTTTCTCATTCCATAATTCAAACGATTGTAAAAGTTGTAGCACCCTGTGCATCTCTATATACCCAACCTATGGTATTCTCCCATCTCGTTTTCAAAGGTTGAATTGTTCAAAAAAC